AATTGCTCAAATTTTTCCAGCTTCCAGGAGTAGGCCATCAAGAACAGTAGCATATTCCCACTTGTTCCTTAAAAAGGACTAAAAAAAGAATCTATGAGCATAGTTTTACCATACACCCATGATGAATTTTACAGTGCTTATGGTGGTGTGGAGTTCACACATCTAGGATAAACACCATTTCTTAACATGTCTGAGTGTACAGTAAAATTGAGCACTCATCACTGCAGGTACCCACAGTATTTTCCTGCTTCTCAAAATGCCAAAGGAAAACCAACAGTACTACAGACATGCAGAAATGATCTTTTTAGTAGTGACCACAATAGAAGGTGTTCTTCATTCACAACAGTGTCCACGGGTTGGTAAAAACTCAAAGCCTTGGAAACTATTTTAAAATATTGTTATTATTTCCCCATATTTATTACAGTCACAGTAATGAAATGTCACCAGTTCTTATCTCTCTATTTCTTTGACTATATACATATAAAACTAGTGTTCCATTAAGATTTGGGAATATTTAAAGTACATAAGAGAAATTTGAAAGGAACTACTAACTTCATCAGAACAAAATAAAAGACACTGCACAACAGTAACTGCTATTACAGGACATGCTCAGTGAGGAAGCGTTAGACGTCTTGCCGCGTATCACTTTGCTGTTGTGTCAATGGTTACCTAACAGTGAGGCATCATGGAATTGACCATAGATTTCTGTATACATTTGTCCAGGCTGCAATGCAGCGGATGGACACTGTAACTCTATGCTACATTTCTATGATAGTTTTCCTCTGCTTTACTTCTCGGATGATTGTACCAACCTGAGCAATGCCACCCACAAACTTTGTTTTGACCACAACGTCGTCGTCCTCTGCTTTCCCAAACGCTGCTTTTTGGGCTGCCCTCACCAGATTGTCTGATGCTCGCTTGACAGCGTTTCCTGCAGCCTTTGAAAAAGCCAAAGAAATGTAGCATAAAAATGTATAAGTAACATGGATTCAGCTGAGCACCAAACTAAGAACATCTTTGCTTGACTACACAAGAAAAATGTGCTTTGTTTCTCAGTGAAAAGCAAATGAATCTTTCAAAATCAATGGTACAGAGAGGAACACAATTCCTTTATTTAAACAGCTGTGAGTTGGGAAAGGCATAAACAAGATTTTCTTTCCATACAGCCTGCAATAAAACAGGAGATGAAACCACAAGTTGTTATGCTCAACGCTGATTTTTTTTCTTCTGTCCCCCATCTCCCCGCAGTCCTATTCCGTATCTCCAGCTTCATCTCCCTTTCAACTTAATTCTCTTCCCACCTGAAATGACCCAAAGACAAATTACTTGAAATCTGCTCTGCTCAGTCTGGAGCTCATCCAAAGGGAATGGAAACATTTCCATTTGTTTCATTAAGTTTTGGAACAGGCTTAGTGCATTCCGACTAAGCATACATGGAAAATGTAGTTCAAATGTCTTCTCCCAAAGCTTGCAGGTGTTTGTAGGGTAGGAAGGAGAAAACTAATACACTCAAACTCCTACACCTAACTATTGATTAAAGCTATATGGAAGCATTTGTGCTGGGGGCAAAGCCAGCTGAAAAGCCTCAGTAGTTTTGGCAAATACACCAGTAAAAGTATTTGTAGACATCAACTCACTGGTTTTGCTATGATAAAGGACATAATCTCTCAGTGCAAACTGCTTTTCCCTTCATTATTCACTTTGATACTAACAGGAAGCTTGGTAAAATGGCCAAGTTCAGTTTCAGTATGTTCTTGGGCTTGTTTCTTTTTCACATTCGCTTTCAACTTTTCACATTCAATGTCTATGTAATAATGTTTGCCTGAGTGACTTAGTACCCCGAGTTTCCTGGCAGAGCTGAGAAAACAGCCTCCAGTACTTGATTTTGTTCCTGTTTCTACAGCTTGTTCTGCATTTAAAATTCCTTCAGACCCATCCTGGCATTTGGATATTAAAGTGCAGGTTGCGTTATAGTCAGAAATATCTTCCAGTTACCGATACAGACCCTTGACAAAATCAGTCTATTTGAATCCTCTAGAAAGCACTAAAACCATCACACACCTAGAGATGAAGATGTAGCTCACTGTAGGGCGTTGGACTGAATGACTTTTGAAGGTCCCTTCCAATCCAAACTATTCTATGATTCTATAACATTGAATGCCACTGGTTTTTGTAGAAACAAATTTTCACACCCTCATACATCTGCTTTTTCAACTCCTGAATATTTAACCCATTTCTCTACTTTGACAAAATGATGACATTTCTTCTTCCTCAGACAGATTAAAGTCATACATGTTTCTGTTGGACTTGATTCTACTATCCATACACTAACTGTTCTATTGAGTGTCCATTAGAAGCATCTGTGCAAATAAGAGAAAAAGGGCAAATATCACTGTCAAAGATACTCCATGTTGACAGTATCAAAAAGGAGTTGAAAAAGTTCTTAGGTTCCAGGCTGAGCCTGCAGGACAGGATGTCACAGAAGGCTGTAGCCATTTTTAAAATGAACACCCTTCAACAAAACTTCTGGAGAGGTTCTATTTTACCCTTCGTAACACAGTGTTAACTCAGTAACAGTTCAGAGAAGCTCAGCATGAAACGGATGTTTAACGTAAAAGGGAACCAGTTTCACGTAAAAAAGTTAAACCAGACTTTGAGACATCGCACCAGCTTCTGCTCCTGTTTTAGCTTGACATTGATTCTCCCTTTTAGAAATGTTCTATCTACAGTTGCTATCCTTGACTCCTAGAAACAAAGGAAAACTGACCACAACCCTGGCTGGCACTGGGGCAAGTACTTCGTTGAACATATGCATAATCTTAGAGAGGTCAGGAGGATACTCCTGTGCAACCCAGTGAAGAGTGCTTACCCGTCTGCAGGCTTACTGGGAGTCTAACTGAAAGCAGAATAATTGCAGAGAAACCAACTGCACTCAGTTCTTCTAAAAACCATAGTAAACATTCTCAGCTCACGTATTCCTGTGGCTTACCGTGAATATGAATCTATCAATGCTGCACCTAAACCAGGGCTTGGCACAGGCCAGTCAACATTTGCATCTCTCAGTGTCTTGTAAAAATGAAGACTAAAACAAGCAGGAAAGTGAGCTGAAGCTACAGATGAATAATGACAAATGCACAATCACTTCATCCTTGATGAATGAAAGTGCCCCAGAATCCCACAAGGAAGAAAAACTGAACAGAATGCTGAAAATTCAATAAACTGTTCCTAAAATCTGGGGTTTGTTCACACAGTGCTAGAACAGTATTTACATTGCACTGCTATGGGTTTTCAGTAATAAAGAACACAAGTACCTGCAGCCTCCTCATGGCTTCTGAGTCATGATCAGCCTTCACTTTGCAAGCCACAAGCAACTGGGCTGTAGAAGCTGCCACTTGCTTGGCGGATGAGATGAGCTTCTCCTCACTAGCGTGGCCTTGTACTGAGGCATTAGCTGCTTCACAGAGATTGCTGGTTGCAGCTGCCACCATTCGGGCCTAGGAGACAGTAAAAAAAAGTCACTATAATTCTCACAGGGTATTATTTCTTCAGAGACGGTGCTAGTTTTCCTTAAAAGTTACTCACAGCGGAAATAAGTCCCTGAGACCACTGTCCATCATCAGCTGCGTTTGCAGGGATCGCTCCAACCTGAAAAACAGTTCACAGGTATCTTGCAATAAAACAGACCATACAATTGCTTTGTCTCAGGTTTAGACAAACAGTAATCCATGAAAAAAGGGAACACCTGCACTGTGCCTGTGCCCAGCATACACAGGAGCAGAAAATCCAACTGAAAGTTGTCGGAGTAACCGTGCCCCAGCACACATCTGCCTGTTCATGCAGTGCCAGCTTGCTACGCTGCTCGAATTGCCCCATCCTTGGAACATGCTTAGAAGTCCCAGAGTAACGGTTGCTGCAGCTGAGACTTTGGCCTAAGCAACAATAGCAGTAGATCCTAATCTCCCGGCCTTTAAAAGAATTTATTTCTGTCTCCACAACACACCTGGATTTACATAATGCAGATTTACATCATTCCTCAGTCTCTTCTGATTCTGGCACTACAGGAACACACACACCAGAAAGCTCCCTGGGGAAGCCCCCTAACTGCCATTGTGCCTAATAACGGCATCTGAGGAAAGCAGCCTATTTTTCTGCATGGCTAATCCACTGAAGTGTTCTTGACATCAGCAGTACAGGCAACAACAAGGAGTTGTTTTCTTCCCACGTTAGATGAAAGTAATGAAACAATATTCTACACACAGTTGGTTGCCAGCCCCCCACTCCCAGCTGCCTGGGGCTGGGAGGTTTTGGGAGAGGAGCTGGAAGGAGTGAAATGTAAACAGGGTCCAGAAAATTCTTGTACTTTTAAGAAAATGGAAACAGGGATTTGTACATAATGAAGATCCCAAGGACTGGAACTGAATCCTTACGTATAGATAGCATCAGCATAAACAGAAGGTGTATTCTCTCACAACTATGGTGACAGTCCACACCAAATCGAAAAGGTCAGCGAAGTATAGTTAGTTGCCAGAGTAAGTGCGCTTACCACTGGTGCTTAGTGCCATTTGCTGTTTGGCACTGAAGCAATGGATGTGGAGCAGATCAGACTTGGCCTTCTTGCCTACAAGGCCAGCTATACTTTTCTGGGAGGAGTCCATACCACACACCTTAGAAGGTTTATTACAAAAGCAAAACATTTCCCTCAATATCAATTACAAAATCTTCCCACCAGGAAGGCTGGAGCTTTCACTATATTCACTATGGACAAGAGTTTGGTCAGTACTACCTATACTTCTGCCAGAGCTGGAGGTACAGGTTACCACTGCAGTCAGAGGATACCCCACAGTGACAATTACCTAAGCATTTGTAATTAGTAAAGAAAGAAGAAAAATGGGTTAGGGCTTCGTTATTTCAAAAGTATCTTAATGGCTTTATTTGTTGGTGAGAAGCATCATAATGAGAGGATGTGCCACAAACAATTCTGAAGTTCAATGTTTCATTATATTTTGATTTTGGTTTGGATTAATTTCTTTCTTTAAGGACCACAGTATTATTTTCATATCCTTCGAGCAGGCAAGAAACCATCAGTAAAAGCCATCTGCTGGAAAAATTCCTTATCTTTCATCAAGTTACTATAGAAGAGTGACGGATAAAGCAAAACAGCTAAATTCAGAAAAGTAGGCTGAACAGATCTGCTACTTGGGCACTACAGTTGAGAGGTGTGCTTCTATTAGAACAGCAAGCTACAGCTTTCCTTAAACAGACAGCTTACAGTGGTTTTAGCAACTATCTGAACTTGGATGGAATAGGATGCAAGTGCCATTAGCCTCAATCTGAAAGACACAAATAGAAATGTATCTGGGGGAGCAAAGAAGCCTAAACCTGTGGGAGATTCAGGGCTGGTACCAGGTAGAGTCTCTATTATTCTCTATCCTTTTACAGTGGTGGTGGTGAGGAAAGTAAAGCAAGCTGTATGTCATAATGAAACTAAGTAAGAACAGGTCTTACCACATAAATGGAGACTGCACAATAAACCAAGCAAAGCAGGTAAGTCAAAAGTCTCATTTTTGGGCTATCTCCATAGTCAGATTCCAACGGCATTAAGACTATCTTGTTTTATGCATTATTGATAAGCTCCATAGCTACAGCTTATGGTGGGTCTTTTCACACAGTTACATCGCTATTGTTCTGAAACACGTGCTCCATCTTCCTGCTGGAACTAACAGCACAAGCTCCCCGGGAATTCTACCTGAAGTAGAGAGCATTGTGCTTTTGTACCAGGATCCATGATACAGTCTGCTCAGAACAAAGCAGTGGATGAAATTGGAAACCGTAACTATACAACAACAATGATCCTAGAACAAACTGTTCTCACAGGTAATATGTATGATTGTTATTCAGATTTTAAATTTCAAAGCATTTTAACTGGGAAAAACCACAGTGATGGATAGGAAATGAATTGCAAAGCTCTCAAACTTGACCAGACCAAAAGGATGATGTGTTATAAGCACTCTTTC